GGGTGTCACAGCCGGAGCAGTAGAGGTTGGGGAGGAGGCGCTGCCTGGTTGAGAGACACACACAGAGCAGGGCTCGTCCCCTCCAGCAAGGGGCAGCAGGGACACACACACACACACACACACACACACACACAGCGCGCAGGGCTCAGCCCCTCCAGCAGGGGGCAGCAGGGACACACACACACACACACACACACACACACACACACACACAGCGCGCAGGGCTCAGCCCCTCCAGCAGGGGGCAGCAGGGACACACACCCCTGCTCTGGGGTGTTGGGGGAATCGTCCCCACAACACTGCAGGCTCCACCTGGCCCCGGCGGCTCCCGGCACCGTCCCCAGGGGGCAGCTCAGGCCCGTGCTCAGCTCGAGTTGAATTCCTGGGCCAACAACGTTACCCCACCTGAGGGAAAGAGGAGAAAAATGAGCTTACGGCAGCAATGGGACTGACGGGATCAACATCCACGAGAACCCAGCTGCCCCGCCCCAGAGATGGCTGCATCAGCACCGGATGAGCTGTCCCTGTGCGGCGTTATGTGCAGCTGTTCTCCAGCTGCCCTGCCCCAGAGGTGGCTGCATCTCAGCGCCGGGCGAGCCGTCCCCGTGTGTAACCAGCCACACCCCAGACGTGGCCGCATTTCGAATGTCCCCTCTGGCACACTCACCGGTCAGCAGGAAGAGGGGGATGGAGGCCCAGCCAAGGCCCCAGGACCAGCCAAAGGAGATGTGGGGCCAGGTGGCCTTTATGACTTGAGCAAACTCGCTGGTGAACACGGTCAGCGCAATCAGGACGCAGAAACCTAGGGCCAAAGGGAACAGCACGGACGCCCCTTAGCACCGCCGGGCACAGTCCCAGGGCCCCTGCCCCGTCCCACCACCAGGGGGCGCTGCCAGAGCCCAGAGCACGGTCTCGGGGGGGGGCTGGAGGGGGGCACATGGTATCCACGAGCCGTGGGACCCGGGGGCTGGGAGCAGCAAGGGGGAGGAGGCCCCAGGGGGGAGGTACCTGCGCTGAAGCTGCCCATGGTAGAGACCACGAGGGGGGACACGGCGTCGAAGTCGGAGCCGCTGAGCAAGGCGAGGAGGGAGAAGGCCGAGAGCAGCCCCGCGAGCAGGCCCAGCGTCAAGAACGTCTTGGTGGCCTCGATGTAATCTGAGGAACCAGAGAGACCGGGGGGGAAATGGAGAATAACCCTGCAGCAAACTAAAATAGAACCCAGGAGTCCTACACCCCCCTGTTCTAACCACTAGACCACACTCCTCTCCCAGAGCCAGAACCCAGGAGTCCTGGCTCCCAGCCCCCCCGCTCTAACCACTAGACCCCACTCCCCTCTCAGAGCCAGAACCCAGGAGTCCTGGCTCCCAACCCCCCTGCTCTAACCACTAGACCCCACTTCCCTCCCAGAGCCAGAACCCAGGTTCCTTGCCCCCCTTCCCCCTGGAGCTGGCTGGAGGCAGCAGTGGGTTGCCGGGCGGTGCCGGCTGCCCTCACCAGGTAGTCTCGAAGGCACGACGCACACCGAATTCACACAGATCTTCCAGAGCCCCGAGTGGACGAAGTCGTCATCCCTTCTCGCCTCCAGCCAGTGGTCGGAGCTCAGGGCCACTGCCACTAGCAGGAGGCTGAGCAGAGCCAGGACGGTGCTGGGGACCTGGAGAGGCAGCATCGCTGGGGGTGGGGGGGGAGAGCGGGGGGCAGCGCTGGGCTCCGGGGAGCCCCTGGGTCGGGGGCGGGGGGAATGAGAGTCAGGCCCAGAGCAGGAAGGGCCAGAGCTGGGTAGACAGACAGATCGGGGGTGTCTGGGGTGGGACGAAGACGAAGGGACAGGGGGCTGGGGGGCCCTTACCCAGACACCAGCCTCTCTGGGTCACCAACTGCCATGGAACCTTCCCCCCCCCCACCCCCCCAGGACTCCAGCGCGGAGCCGGGGGAGACCCCAGCCTTCAGGGGGGTGGATGGCTGGACGGATGGAGGAGTGAGGGGGGACAGCGGGGTGGGAGTGTTTGGGGCTGGCTGTGGGGCCAGACGGACCCTCGGGTTCCCCATGCCCTCCGGGCTGTCCAGGGGACTCTGTTTAAATAAACCCCCCTGTGCCCCAGGGTGCCTAGGGCAGCCCACCCGGACAAGGCCAAGGTCAGGGCGGGCTGCGAAAAGGGAGAGCAGATTTCCCCCAAACTGGTGGTTACCGCGGTCGTTCGATTCCCCAGCCAGTCCCAAGCTGTGCTCCTAACACCCCACCCCACCCCACCGGTTACGGAGAAGCTGCCCCACAGCCAGTCAATCCATCCTGTCAACAAAACGATGGGAAGCCTTTGCCCCCTTACTCCACGGTTCCTGCCCCGTCTCCACATGGGGCACGCGATCCGCTCACCGTCAGCCTCTCGGAAATGGTCAATCCTTGCGAGACACTTCCTTCAAACTTTCCATAATTGAGAGGGTCATTTCACGCCCCTGCAGTCAACCTGGAGGAGAACAGGCCGTTTTCTCCCCGCCGGACGTCAATAAACATCACAGAGTCTTTCCAACATGGACGGAAATTCCTCAGCATCTTCACTGGCCTTAGAAACTGGACACGTCCGTTCCAAAGCTTGGCCGTTGAGAGGAGAAAACCAGCCAGGCGGTGGCAGATCTTTCTTCTCTGCTCTCCGTGGGGCCTCCCAGCCCAGCACCAACCCGCACCAACCCTGCTTAGCAAGAGAGCCCAGCGAGAGACAGAACCCAGGAGTCCT